AAATCCGTGGCCAGGGTCATTCGGGTTGAGAGAGAAAGAGTTCTCTGGGAGAATCCGATTAGAGCGAGACTCGAGTAGAAATCGTATGAGTCTGACAGCACCATGCTCGATATACAGTCTCTGAGATATTAGAGGGATGAGGGACTATAGGTACACGGTAACTGAGGATAGACAGGTCCAATGGATTGGATTCCCCTGTATCGTATGGGGACTACGGCGTAGTGGCCTAGTACGTCTGTAGTCGATGAGTCGAGTGAATTATTACAGAGATAATAATTCACTGAGTTAGAAAGAGTTCTGACAGGTATGACTCACGGCCAGCTTGATATTGGGCCTAGAGGGTCACACAAATATGGTAAGCATTGCGTTGAGTAGAGGTTCGGATATGAGATATCAGACGGAGCCCTTGTCTTATTGGATGCAGATTCAATACCCACTAAGGGTGGACCCATTAGGGTTTGACAGGGGACCTCTATAAATAGGAGGGATTCAGAGCCTCATAAGCTAGAGCCTTTGCTTGTCTTTCCTATTCTCCTCTCCCTCTCCACCTCAGAGCAAGCCTGGAGTTTTGAGGAGCGTCGTCGCAACCCTATTGTGTGGATCACCGCTAGAGAGGAGGACGCTTGACCTCCTTCACCCTCTCCTAAGGATCTGCAAGGAAACAGGGATATACAATCTCCCTAGGTAACACAATCTACTCTATACGCAGTTTTAAGTTTCGCGGATTTTGCGCACCAATCTTCGCACAACGACGAACTTCTCTTTGGCAATCGGGGATTTTGTTTTCTTGTTCTTCCGCTACGCATGTGATGTCGCCCCCAAGATTTCCCAACAAAATTTCTGAACACAAAAATTCATATACTTACTCATTTAAATTAAACCAGAAAACTGGAACTTGGGAATGCAATAGGCACAAAATGAGGGTATTTCACTTATAAATGAGGGTCAATATCTGGGGTAAGAGGATTAAAGGGAGGTGTTTAAAGCTCCAATAATGGCGACCAAAAATGTTAGACAAAAGCCTAAGAAAAGAGTAACTTCAAAAGCATAAAAACAATATCACACATTGCCAGCAGCTCCTATCCAAGCTAAACTTTTCAATCAAGAATTTGCAATCTTCTTTATTGTTTGGCATTCTAAGTCTGAGACCTTCAGAATGTATTGTGAACTACATAAGTAACGTTAAATGACTCCAATTGTCACAAACACATTCAACCAAGCTTACTTTTTATTAATGAATCCCCTACCTACATTTTGTAGTCCAGCTTAAACCCTGCAACTAAATTTTACCATGCATCTGCACAACGTGAACATTTCTACTCCCAGCTATCCTTACCGATACCAAACTGATTATCAGAAGAAAGCCTTTCCTAACAAAGATGTTCTATAAAACCATGCAAGAAAAACAAGGAGAAAGTTTCTTAATTTTCCCCTCCACCATACATAACTTCTTTTTTCCTTCAATCCTTGTGTCTATCATTTGATTTGCTCATTGCTATGTGAGGGGACCGATGAAGGACCATACCAACAGACAAACTGAAATCCAGGTCATAAAGATCCATGTCAACAAGTCAGTTGCCAGCCAGGAAATACATGATGGCTGTATTTCTTTTGCAATTTTCATTACTAAATTTTTATTTTCACATTAAGCGAATTGAAATTATAAAATATTTTTTAAAACAGATAGTCTAGATGTGGATTTCCTTTTCACAACACAATTAAAGATTAGATGGTTTAACACCTCCAGATTTCTAACTCAAATCAAATCCTAATCTTACACAAGCTATTGATTACTCTAATAATGAGGCTGCTAAGATCTAATGTAAGGCCATTGATAGTTAATTGGAACGATTAGCATGATTTCCTCAAAAGAGATCATGAGTTCCTAAAAAAGAGATTTCTACTTTCTCATAAAAGTAACAATCTTGAGGATTCATTTATATATATACATATATGTGTAATGCCATCAAACCAGGGGAGAATCAACAGGTAGGCTATTCTAGAATTGCAATATTGATTTGATTGTTTACTTATTAGTTTATCTCTTCCTTTAAATAACAGAATTCTAGAAAAAAGCAAACGCATACAAAATAAAAATCATATCACCAACTTCACTACAAATAATGGGAAACTTCATACTAGCTTGTTCAAGTAAGCAATAAGAAGAGAAGTTTACTTTGTTATATCTGCAGCTGCTACAGTATTTGTACCATCTTCACCTGAATAAAAATCCAGACAAAATTTTGTATTAACAAAAGATGAAGCTAAAACATCAGTTACAAAACAAAAGGCAAAAACAACACATGAATTATTTCTTAAAGAAGAACCATCAAAGGCTTTCTATGTACCAAATAATGTTTGAAATCTTACCGATGATACAAGAAATATGAGAGTCAAATGCACAGAATTATGGTAAGACAATGAGTAATGAGTTATAATGTATATAAACATTATCAGGGAAAACATGACACACTAATCAAGGGAAAAGTGTGAACGCAGAGTCATAATTATGAAAAGATGAGGGTGATTGAAACGTATTGGTTACAGAAAGTAATCTCTACTACAGGCTCTCATTTACATCATTTTTATATCCAAATGCTGTAGAAAACCAAACATACCTGATGTACCAGGAAGTGTATCTCCTCCACCCTGGATTAGCAAGTTGTGCAAGTTCAGACAATGCTAAATGGAAGTAGCTTCAAATTCCAACTATCTACAATCAAGTGCATTACCTGTGCATATATTCTCCTGGCCCCTTCTAACTGCAACATCTCTGCATAATAGGTATTGGCTGATTCCAGCACCTCAGGTGTACTCACAAACCGAACAAACCTGCAACCAAAACTTATTGTTAAAGAAAACAAAAGTCCTTCGAGCCACCAATAGTTCCTGGAGTATACCACATCATAAATCATGAAAATTTGGCTGAAGACCCATTTGATTGGCAGAAGTGGCCGCACTGTCTCAATCGTACCTTTCAAGAGTTCCTTTGTTGAACCATGAGCCAGCATCGTGAGATTTTTCAAGCTCGAGCTTTATCGACTTGTCTACCCGTGCAGCCTGCTCGTCTGCAACCTTCAAATGCGTGATGAACGGCTTCAAGAAACCAGAAGCAATCTTCTCAGTTTTTCCATTTCCCGAGACAAACAATTCGCACCTGCAAAAGGTAATCTTCGTCTTTACAAGATATTGTCAGAAAATAAAACCCCCAAACCCATCTTGAAGGAGCATTCTCACCGTGAGCGTCTAGGCGAGAGCTTGAACACGGCGCAGTCAAGAGAAGTGTCTGAATTCATCATTCGACCAAGCAAAGCAGCTCCTTTATCATCCCCTGGCAACTCCACTCCCCCGCAACCCAAAATCCTCAAACCCTGCAATATTTCAAACCCACCATGCATCGCCCAAATTCCAATAAAGGGAAAATCGAAATCAACTACACCACATCGAAGCGTGACTCAGATCTACCAGATCAAAGCAACCTCCTGTGGATCCACATCAGAACCAAAGCCCTAAACATAAAAGGACAGTCCCGACAAGTATCCACGCAGATTCAACCGACCGGCAACGGATTCCCGCAATGCGAGGGCATCAAACGCCCCGATCGCCCGATCGAGGCCGTCGAGCGGCGGGGAGGGGAGGTAGCGAAGCTAGGGCCGCATCAAGAACGCACTTTGCAGCCGTCTCCGCGGATCACCGGGCTCGATCTGTGATCCAGGTGACGGTGGGCGTTCAAAACCGATCGACGAGCGGTGGGCGCCAATGGGGGCGATGTAGGAGAGTTCTGGCTCCGACTCACAGCGCAGTGTCGCGTCTGGTGGAAGAAGTGTTTGAGTTGCCGTCCGCTTTGCTCCTCCCTCACCACATCTTATTCTTCCTTAGGTAGAGGAGAGAAGAAGAGTCTCTGAGAGAGGGGTTCGTGTGTGTAGAGGGAGTGTGTCTTCGTGTGGGGGACTTTGGGAACAGCTTTCTGGTGGCTCGCAAAGGAAACTTGAGTTCCCCATAATACCCCTGAACTTTGCCAAATTTTCATTTGTTGGTACTTCTTCTACAATCCACAAAAATTTATATTTTAGTTAATTAAAAATATTCAAATTTTAATTTATATTTTTTAGTAGAAAATCATTTTAGGTTCACTTTTTTTTTTTCTTGTACTATTAATACTAATTGTCTCATTCCTCTTAAATATATTTTCTCTCATTTTATTACAATGTGGTCATCCATCTTTTCCATGTTTTCTACTATAATTCAGTGAACAAAATCCTATATAAATTTTTATTCAATTTAAATTTTTAAATATTATCTTTAATGTTAACGTTAATCCTTTGCCCATTAGAGTTACCAATGTGATTAACATAATTAATTATCATAATAAAAATGATACAACAAAAACCTATAAACAAAAATAAATCTTTTTTTTTCTTGCTTTTCTTATCTCGAGAGAAGGCTTATTAGGCATATAAACAGTAAGTATTTTCTGAAATAAAAGGATTTTATTTATTAGTTGAAATTGTCATGTCCCTAAAGATTATATCATTACTCTCCAAGTGAGAGATAAGATTAGATTGTTGACTGATATGAATTCAAGCTCAAAGATTAGAGTATAAGCTAGTATGAAAATATTATTAGAACTAAAGTGTCGACTTGTTGAGGTTAAATATTTGAATCATCTCAAGTGCACCAGATTTGATCGAAAAATTATAATAATTTTACGTCTTCACTTCTTCTAGGCCATCTCATGCATTCATCATCTAAAGGGTTTGAATCAGGGTGAGTATTTTGTCCGATCCATAGAATTCTTGAAATAAAAGCTGGTACCTCTAATGATGTCATTGGTAAGGCTATAGAAAGATCGAGTGAGTTTGAGACTACTTAGAAAATCTCAACACATTAGGTTTTAAAAACCTTCAACCTCATGGAGTAGGGTTAGGAGCAATGGTTGTTAATTTTAGAGTCATTTATATTCTTTCATAACAATGGAGGAAACTAAAAAACCAAATAGATATGAGTAAATAATTTCATTATAATTTTTCTAAAAAAATTAATTTTTGAAAGAATATTTAGACACTATAAACTTCCAATTTTATCAATACTCATTTTGTCCTTCCCTTGGTGCCTGTAAATATTTTTAGAAGTGATAAACTCAGAAAGGTATAGGCTCCATACCCATCAATCTCCTTTAACAAATGAATACTTTTATTTTTTTAATTTAAATTTATATTAAAATTATTAAAAATAGGTTTATTCTGGTATCGATTAGAGATAATGTTGATGAGATATTTGAACTAACAAAAGTAATAACAACTTAGAAAGATAGATTATTTATTTAAAGAAATATTGGTAAATCATGGATCTTTCTATAAAAGAAGCTTTGATTAATCTCACCAATTTTTGTTCTAGATTTAATAATAATTTAATAGATATCTTAGGACTTGGGTTCCAAGGGTTAGGGTATGTTAGGATCGAAATCAGCATTAAAAGGGGGGTGAATTAGTGCTTCGATAAAAATCTCAATGATTCGAAAACTTTCATTCGTTGAAAAATCATGTCGAAAATATTGAATGTATGCTTAGCTTAGAATAAGTGTAATAAGTAATTAAAATAATATTAATGATAATGAAAAGCAAAATAGAAATACAAACCGAGTTTTATAGTGGTTCGATCGTCGTGACCTACGTCCACTCCTGATTCCTCCTCTGTTGAGGCTAATGCATCCACTAATGGTCTTCCTTTAATGAGCATAGACCAACTATCCTCATACAACTCTTTTCTCATTTTCATTGGTTTAGGAGATAATCTTTACAACCCACTCACCCCTTTCTTAAACTAAAATCAACACTTAAGCTATAGGAGAGGAATTCTCATAAGATTACAATAACGTTTTCCTCAATTTTTGTTCTCAATTTATGTTTACCGAGCAAGGATGAGTGGGATTTCTATAGGCCCTAAATGGCTTCAAAAGGTGGAGCCAAAATTTAAATCCCCGAGATTTCGAGGTATTGGTGGCACCATCGTTAGTACTAGGCAGTACCACTACCTGCCAATCTGACACTAGGCGGTACTACTGCTCAGTTTGGTGGTACTACTGCTTGACACACTGTCATTAGGTGATACCACCACCCAATCTAGCGGTACCACCGCCTAACACAGTTTGGGAGACTATGTGTGGGCGATACCACTACTTGACACAGTCTTGAAGACTATGTCTAGGTGGTACCACCATCTAGTCTGGGTGGTACTGTTGAATCTCGTATTTTGATGATGAAACCAATTTATAAGTATTTATGTTTTAATCTGTATTTTGAATGATGCAGGATGCTTCGATCAGGATGAGACAATTAAAGTAGAAAAATCATATTGGGACAAAGGAACATATCAGAAGATTGGACGTTGGGTCGGTGGATCAGTCGACATATCGACAGAAGGCTTTGAGCCGTGGATTCATGCATCGGGCCAAGAAGAGCAGATATTGCGCTAAGGATATCATAGTTGCGGAGTCATCTGGTCGATTGGGCAATAGACCGCAAGAGAGGACGATGCGCTGAAGAATCGGACGAAGCGTCGAGGGATCAATGGCATATTGGACAACTTGATTAATGCTTAGTATTAATTGTCTAGATCAAAGTGTGTCTTTACATATGCAAGATTAACTAGATAGCAAGGCATAAGGCAAAATGAAGTCCTGGAGTCAAGGATGTGATTATGTTGGGAGTTCGAGAGTTTGTCGGAAGTTCGGACATTCGTCGGAAGTTCTGGAGGAACCACCTGAGAAGTCTCAGAGCTTGCCAGAGAAGCTCATTGGAACTCGCCAAGAAGATCGTCGTGAAGTCTAGGAGTTTGCTGGGAGTCCATCGGAATATTGCTGAGAGATCGTCGGAAGATCGCTGAAAGATCACCGGAAGCTCGCCGAAAGAATAGACATATGGACTTGTTTAGCTTAGCAAATATCTTAGGATTTCGTAGTTAGCATGTAATTGGGCTTGGATTTGGGCCAACCCAATTAGGGGCCAGCTAGGCCCATGTAAGAACTGTGTTAGCCCAATAAGAAGCCCAAATAGTGCCCCCAAGAAGTCTCACCGTCGTGGCACAATCTTCGAGACTGTGTCAGGCGGTGGTACCGCCCATGCCCGAGGAACCCGGGGTGAAAATGTTTTAGGCTCCAAGTTTGAATCAACTTGAAGCCTATAAATACTCCTCTCATCCCTGGTTAAAGCACACAAGCACAGAGAGTTCAAAAGTAGAAAAACGTTGTAGAAATCCTTTGTGAGAATCCTCCTCTAGTCTAAGTGTTAGAATTCTATAAGAGGAGAGTGAGTGCTTGTAAGGGTTATCTCCTAAACCCGATAAATGGAGAAGAGGGGTGTAAAAGGTGATTGACCTTCGCCTATTGAAGGAAGGCCTCTAATGGATGCCGGTGACCTCGTCGGAGGAGGAAGCCGAAAGTGGATGTAGATCATGTTGACCGAACCACTCTAAAATCTGGTTTACATTTCCTTTATGCTATTTATCTTAACTGTAAACTACCTTTTTTACTTTACATCAAATACATTTCTATACGCTTTCAAAGCTAAGATCTTTACGAAAAGATTTTTATCGAAAATGGTTTTTATCGAATGAAGTTTTAATAGAGACACAATCTTTCCGCTGTACTAATTCACCCCCTCCACCCCCCCCCCTCTTAGTACCGACCCCGATCCTAACAATTGGTATCAGCGCCACGGTTTTCTACTTTGGTTTAACACTCAAATAGAAATGGCTCATTTCGGCTTTCAAGAGGGTCACTCTCTCATTCGTCCTCCATTTTTCAATGGGACAGACTACACTTATTGGAAAACTCGAATGAGAGTTTTCTTGCTTTCGTTAGATTTAAATTTATGGAATATTATCGAGAACGGTTTTTCAATATCGTCTCTTCTAATGAACCATTGGAATGATTTATATAGCAAGGCATGAAGCAAAATGAAGTCCTAGAGTCAATGATGCGATTACGTTGGGAGTTCGTCGGAAGTCCGGACATTCATTGGAAGTTCTAAAGGAACCAGTTGAGAAGTCTCGGAGCTTGCTAGAGAAGCTCATCGGAACTCACTAAAAAGATCGTCGTGAATTTCAAGAGCTTACCGGAGTCCACCAGAACATTGGCAAGAGATCGTCGAAAGATCACCAGAAGCTCGCTGGAAGAATAGACATAGGGACTTGTTTAGCTTAGCAAATGTCATAGGATTTCATAGTTAGCACATAATTAGGCTTGGATTTGGGCCAACCCAATTAAGAGCCAACTAGGCCTATGTAAGAATTGTGTTGGGCCCAATAAGAAGCCCAAACAGTGCCCCAAGAAGTCTCACCGTCGTGGCATAGTCTTCGAGACTGTGTCAAGCGGTGGTACCGCTAGTCTGGGTGGTGGTACTACCCAACGCAGGCGGTGGTACTGCCCGTGCCCAGGGAACCCAGGATATGAAAGTTTTAGGCTCCAAGTTTGAATCAACTTGAAGCCTATAAATACCCCTCTCATCCCTGGTTAAAGCACACAAGCACAGAGAGTTCAAAAGTAGAAAAATGTTGTAGAAATCCTTTATGAGAATCTTCCTCTAGTCTAAGTGTTAGAATTCTATAAGAGAAGAGTGAGTGCTTGTAAGGGTTATCTCCTAAACCCGGTAAAAGGAGAAGAGGGGTGTAAAAAGTGATTGGCCTTCGCCTAGTAAAGGAAGGCCTCTAGTGGACGCTGGTGACCTCATCGGAGGAGGAAGCCAAAAGTGGATGTAGGTCAAGTTGTCCGAACCACTCTAAAATCTGGTTTGCATTTCCTTTATGATATTTATCTTAACTGCAAACTACCTTCCTTACTTTACATCAAATATGTTTCCGTACGCTTTCAAAGTTAAGATCTTTACGAAAAGGTTTTTATCGAACGAAGTTTTAATAGAGACGTAATCTTTCCACTACACTAAT